ATCGAGACTATGGAAAACGGTAACGTGATATGATTTGACTATGCGTACGTACGAATGTTCTAATCAAGCCATTCCATCGTAACAATGCCTATTGTACCCGACTCAAATCAGATAGAACAGTTCTCTATAATAGAAATGACGCGTTAAGCTGTATAACAAATAGACTGCGGACAGTATGCATTTATGAGAAAAGTTCATAGCTGCAATCGATAATGCATACGAGCATCGATACATTACTTTCGACATACTAAACCCATTGCTTAATGGCTTCTGGTTCTTACAATTAGACTGTAGACAATTTTTATTTTCCATAAAGATCCACAGGGTGTCCTAAAAGTCACTCGCAATTAGGAAATGAAGGGTTCCTGGGGTCATTTCTCGCATAGCGAGTAACTTTTGGGACACCCTGTATGGTGTAATAATAAGGAAACTTCGATTACTAAGTATTAAACTTGATTGGTAATTAAACTTAGTTACCAATCAAACAGTTTCCGTGCTATATTTTGTTCTCACGTTCTGTATCGAATATTTCAAGCACCTATAGTTCCTTTCAAATAATCAATGACAATAGGAATATAATCGAAATTTGTTGAAATAATTTATTTCTATAAATTCTAATAAATCCGTAGAATTAGAAGACAAGAAAGCATTTAATTCTTGCATAAGATCTGCAGTGTAATAATTATTTACCCGAACAGTGAAGCAAGATATAAGTTCCATATTCATTGTAAAGATTGATGAACGGAGGCACTAATTGATCACCTATTTATTATTTTCCGTCTTGTCTACTCGTTTTTACAACAAAACCATACAATCAACGGAATAGACAAATCGGAACAATCGAGCTCGTTTCTCGAAAATTCTGGTCATCAAATTCCGCCGCTAATACAGCAAATGAGCGATTCGATTATCAGTTACCGTGCTCCACCGACTACTGTGCATTTGGATTATTTTTAAACCAAACAAAATTTAACTTGAAGAGATTGAAAAACACCAATTTTTTTTAATAATATATAACTTTCAATTCATGTGTTATAAATAAAAATTTGTAACACTTGTGTAATTTATTTACACTTCTGACCCCTATTTGAAACAGTAGCACAAATAATACGATAAAAAATTTATAGAGCATATGTAAGTGAATGTATAAATTTTTCCCATACTTTTGAACATTTTACTGTATAAACTCACTCACACAAATACTGTTCTGTGACAATCAGCTGTAAACAAAAATGTTCACTCGAATATGGGTGTTTTTACGCAAAAACATACTGTTCCATATTGTGTACTTCAATAATATCATTGTCCCGACTTATGGAACAGTTGGCGTCCGTGTTTTATATTCAAAATGCCCCCAATTTGGAACGGGTAGTTTCAAATGGACTTCCCAAAACAGGGATATTGAACATGGAACACAGGACATGGTACGAAAACGGTGTTCCCTAATAGGTACACGCTCGTACGTTACTATTCTATTCCTGTTATTTTTTATTCATATTAAAAGAATATTTCAACGTCCATCATATTATTTAGAAACGTCAATCTGTCGAACAATAATATAAACAGTAACACTTTTTAATTGTAATTAAATCGATGATAATAGAGTTCCACAGCTTAATAAGAAGAAAATCCATGACAATTGTATATTTCTTGAAAAGCGTTCCGTAATAGATACTTTCACCTTATACGATTTCATTCAGAAAATATTTTTCGCAGCTTTCTACCCCATACTGCAACGTCCGTAAAATGCATAGTGCTGGAAATCCGTGTCGAAATATTTCTAGACGATAGTGTACGCGCAGATCCCGCGGTCGTTTTCCGGAGCCTCGCAAATTAATCCGACCGCGATCTTTTTTACCGATGGCCCGGATTTTTCGCTGCGGATTTCGCCGAACGATTCGGAGGTCGCCGATTCCGAAACGAGCGGGAGCGGCCGGACCTCCGACGTACGATTTCGCCGCGGCACACGACGATGCACCAAACCGACAGTCGAGATTCATTGATTCTCTTCCCTAACCGGATTTCAATGGAGTGCTTGTATTCCCCCGAATTCGTTTTCTGCATTGAAACGAACCTTCCGATTGTTTGCAGGCATTTTCGTATTCGACCGACGAAGGAACGGTGACGAGCATTCCGATATTTCGTCCGCGTCCCTTCGCGCTCGCCCCTTTTGTCCACTGCCGAGGAATTAGAAACGCGTTCTACCAGCGGATGCATTTTGTAGTTTGCCCTTTTTTTTCGCTTTACTCGACACTCGAGCGGTCGATCTCCATTAAAATATAATCGAGCACGTTTATGATGATTTAAAAAACTGGGTACACAAACAACTGAACACAATTTAGTTAGGATGCGAAAAATGACAAATGAAATGCCCGTTTAATAATTTTATGTGACATACAGTGGTGTGCATAATTATAGACTCAAAGTGACGTTTACGTTGTTACTGATATCTAAACGACAAGTTAACAAAATATCGTATTTGTATATTTAGAAGTATTATTATTTCTATTTTCTATCATTTCTAATATATAGAAATATTATTATTTCTATTTTCTGTTATTTTTAATGTAGGAACATTATTATTTCTACTTTCTATTATCTCTAAAATAGAAATATTATTATTCCTATTTGTATTATTTGTAATATAGAAATATAGAAATATGATATTTTGTCAGGTTTTTGTTTAGATATTATTTCTAATATAGGAATATGATATTTTGTTAGGTTTTCGTTTAGATATCAGTAAGAATGTAAAAATTACTTTGAGTTTATATTTACGCACACCATTGTATAATTATTTTCATTTTTTAGAAATATACAAATATGATATTTTGTTGAATTATTTTTGAATGTATAGGATGTCTCAG